TTTCACCACCATTGGCTCGAGCTATTCTTAAACCAAATTGTGTCGTATTTAACATGGAAATTCCAAAAAGAAGCTAAAACATTGAGAATCGGTGTGATTCGAAAAAGAAGCTCAAAACTAGAGCGATACCGATTCAGATTGAAATTTTTTTAACAAAGATTGTTGATTGCATTTTGATGCAAATAAAATTAAGGTTATTTTATTTTTAAAATTTTATCATTTATTTTTTTTGTTTAACATTATCCTATTTACATTCTTAAACTAACCAACCAATTGATAAGATATCAATTCACGCACACAAATAAATTCATGCCCACCTAATTATCTCTGCTTCAGAAAATAAATAATAAAATAATAAAATAAAATAAAAATTAAAATAATCCTAATTTTATTTACGTCACATATTTATACCGGAGTCATGGTAAGCTTGCAAACATGGATAGGGTCTTTACGTTGTAGAAAAATGTTGAATCCCTTCATTCTAGGATCATTTTAGGGTTTGATAAATAATACGGACTACATACTAATAATTAGGTCATTTTTTTTGGGTGCATTTGATAACCGACAAAATATCCATTTTTTAAGGTATCTCTTGTTTGTTTGTGGGCTAAGCTACATTAAAATATGAACAATGGCTTGTTCGACTTTCCCCAAATTACTATTCAAATGGGGAACTTGGGTGTGGTTTTAATAGGTTATAAGACGAAAGAAAGTAAACTTAGGTGGGCTGGCTATATACCTGTTAGGACTTAGGAAGTGCAAGTCAGTTCAAGTGGAAAGCTCAAAGAAAGTAAGAAGTAGGCCAAAAAAGACATGTTTGAAAGTTGTGAGAAAAAATATAGGGAATATGACCTCACTAAAAAAATGGCCTTTGATAGAACATAATAGCGAATCAAAATTCGTGTAACCAATCCTAAATAATTAAAAAATAATAACTCTTATAAAGATGATGACTATTCAACTAGAGAAGCATGCAGCCTCAGGTCTTGCAAATTTACAGGAAAGTTCTCTCTCTCTTACTGCAGATCGCTCTGTCTTGTACTACGAATCTCTCTCTCTTAGTAGTACTAAGAAAACATTGCGGTTCCATTTTCTCTTTATTTGGGTGAAACATACCACTTCGTTGTGGGACCTTATAAGAAGTACTCTCACGTGGGGCTAGGGCATCCACTTTCATCACCTTTGTCTCTTACCTACAGCTTTACACACGGGAGAGTTAAGAGGAGTTCGTGGAAATTCTATTGAAAAGAAGCTTCTATATAAAGGCACGTTTGGTTAGTCACCAAAAAATTCTATCATAAGTGTGGAATATTTTTATATCAATTCATCTAAGTGCATCTTTCCACATCAATTGATAACTAATTGATGTAAAAATATTTGTACACTTAACCACATGAGAGATTTTTTTTATGTGAAAATATTTTTTAGAAAACATTTTTACAAACCAAATGTATATTATAAATCTCCTAATTCACGTATGTGTATGCTTGCATGAACATATATGTGTGCGTACATACATTAGTATACATCACTTTTTAAAAATTTGATCTTCGGCTTCGTTTCGCTAGGGACCTGAGCTCGAGTCCCCTTGGTCCATCTCAAGTAAATCCGAGTCAGGTCAAAGAATTTTTAAGAAGAGGACGAAAACCCTAGAGACTTGTGCCGTCTAAGTTTTTTTTTTTCTTTTTTTGAAAAATGGTTTGATAGGACTGCAACACTATCAAAATATGTAAAATCTTACCTCATAATTCATCGAAAATTATAATTCAAGTATTAGAAAACCTTTTTTGGATCATCTATGCTTGAACATTATAGTTATGAAAAACATTGAAATTTTAAGCTCTAAAAATAGTGTATATCGCAAAAAATTATCTAGACCATCTATTTCACCCTAAAAATAAGTGTTCATATATCCGCAAGATCTATACTATTTTTTTAGCTTCACATTTTATTGTCAGGGTTGGAAATTGATGTTAGATCCATCATGAAGATTTTTGTTGCCATGAAGATTTTTGTTGCCAAAAGTGCTTTGTGAACGAGGATTTGTCGTGAGGCTTTATGAAAACTTCCTTACGAAAACTTCATCATTTTTTACCCAAAATCGTCTGGTTCCTATTCCAGTCCAGACTGGGTGAATCCCCATGAGAAAATTCATTGAGCTTTCCATTTAGAAAAGGGTACAATTTCATGTAAAAGACATTGCATCGAGCTTCAGTACCCAACGTTCAAGAGAATGCCTGTACAGGTTTACCATATATAACCAGACAGCCTTTGTCATCTAGAAACGATACTCAGGCTGCCACTCAATAATCCCCTTTCATAGTACAAATCACTTGAACATCTCCTATGACAACTTCCATTTTCAATTTTTGTTGAAGAATTTGAGAAAAATAAGGAAAAATTCACCATGTGACTATTGTTAATAAGGAAAAATACCTAGAAAATCATAAAATGGAAAGGCAAAAACAATTCCGTTCATACTCACTTTTAAGCACGGGATTGTGTACTATGAGACCATTAATTTTTTGTACAAAGAGATCACAATCACTTTTAGCCATGGGTTGGGAAATCTAAGAGATAAAAATATGTCATATTATTTGAAAATTTTTATTTTTGAACTTTATGCCTAAATAAAGACGCATTCTCAACCACTCAATTTTAAATCTAACGGTCATAACAATTGTGACCTCTTTATATTAAAAATAAATGGTTTCATTGTATGTATTTCCTTTTATTAGTGTATATTTATGGAAGTTTGCATAATAAGAACAGGGTACGAGAGAGAACATTAGGCAGGGTCGCAAGAATGATTCTCTCTTCATGGAGAACCCAAAATGGTAGCAATTCATTGTCCACGATATTTGGCTAACGCATTGTGAAAATGGCTTTAATGCTTTAAACTTAAACTTGTTCGTAAAGCGTAACGATTTTAAACCTTTTTTTTAACCAGTCCTAAGTCCAGGGATTTTCCATTAATCCTGAATTTAATGGCATTATTGATAGTACGGCTCGTGTAGCCAATTCCAAATAGTTAGAAATAAACTCTGACGATGATTATAAAAGTGGTTTAACGTTATTTAAGATAATTACAAAACAATTGAAAAGTCAATATCATATTTAAGCATAGAAACAAGATCTCGTGGCTACTAATTAATATCATCTTTTCATCCTTGTCATATGCCATACTATGATGGAAATTTATCAAAATATCTATAAGAGATGAACTATTCAATATTTTACCCATTTACAACTATTCCAACTCATGATCGTATGCATGTGTACTCTACATGTGTACTCTACATGTGCCTTACTAAAGGCCTATTTGGCTTGACCGCTAAACCGCTTTAATTCTATTTTTAATTGTCAACTCCCAGACATGTTTTTCTTTCTCCACTTTTTTTTTAAAAAAAATAAAATAAAATAAACCAAACCCTTCAAAGATGACTCTAGATATGTTTAACCTCGCAATAGAAAATACTTGTTTTGGATTCAGTTACATTTATTGCTAATTAATAATACACCTACACAGTCAAGACAAACAAGCATTAAATCTCAATGTCTTCCCCAATTGGCTAGTCCACAAAATAGGCCAAAACTCCGTAATGACTTTGGTCCCTACAAAACTCCCTTGAATCAACATAAAATTCTGAGTCTCAAATTATTGAACCGAGAGCATAGTCAATAAATATATTATATTAAAAATGCACCATGATTTAAAGAGAAATGGTTCCCCAAAGAAAAAGCTCCAATAGAAGCTAATATCGTTTTTCCCTTTCTATGGGTAGGATTCCCTTCACCTAAGCCAAATGTTTAAGGAAAACTGTTTCATGTGGGCAAGACCGCATAAAAACCAGGTCCAAATGTTTTTTTACTAGAATTATTATTTCTAGTTTTTAAATTTTACTCTTTGTTTTTCATATTCATGATTTAGAGATTACATGTCCTTAAAAAGTAAGTCCAAAAATCCATCTCAAATATAAATTTACTTATAGGCCTACATTTCTACATATGCGGGCTTGGCCGCAGAAAAACCGGGTCCAATGTTTAAACCCATCGCCTCCTGGATACAGTATGTGCTCATATCCTTACATTGGCGCGCTCATTTACAATTCCTTGAAATATTCATTTTCATTTTTTTATATAATATTGTCAAGGGAGAATGTAACAACCGATAAAATTGTTGCCTCACAATTTCCTTCCCTGAACACGTATTAACTCGACCCCCTGACCCCCTGGGTGGGACACAGGTCCTCAAATTTCAAACAGCACAAGGACTGAACTACCAGAGAGATACCTCGACGCTAGTCCACCATCTAAATAACTGTTTTGTCATTGAGGTTGAGCTGAATGCCCTAAAGCCAGGTGTGAAATGCTTTCGCCCATTTCAAAACAAAGTCAATAGGAAAGGAGATTATGCTAATTTCATTAACTGGTGCAGTGGAAAACATGGCGCTCCTAGGAACTGGATTTTGACCTCAATGAAACTCAAATGAATGTGAGGCAGAGACATGCGTTTCCAACGTATCTACAGAGAGAGAAATCAAGAGGCCAGAGTAAATAAGGAGTCAACATTTATGATGTGCTGCAAGCATTTTCTCTCCCCGATAACGTCTTCAGTGAAAAGATATTACCAATGTTGCTTTCTTGCATTTTTTTTTGTACCCCATTCTCAATGTACATATATATTCAAACGATGAAATTTCAGTGAACGTTGACAAAATAAACAAAAATGAAAGAGGTCATAATCAAGAAAATGCCTATAAACCTAAATGGTACATCACTCAACCATTCACTTTAAAAAGTCCAGGCCCCCGAGCCCATTTTTACGGCATGTAAAAGTGCAGGGAGCTAGAATGAGATGATACAAAAGTACCAGCCACTTCATCACTGATCAACATATGATCCACTCTCTCTCTCTCTCTCTCTCTCTCTCTCTCTCCTTTAATTCCAGTAAACCAACCCAAATAACTACTAAACTGAAATTTTTTCCATGCAAATACCTGCACGCCTAAGATACCCTATTTCTATCTTTAAATCAACCCAAATTGTTTTACATCCAACACTGAACATTTCAAAAAATTTCTTTCCACCCCATCCAAGATGTACAGAGAGAATATTACACAAATTGATAAATAATTTTGGAGGAGCAGATGTTTCCTGTGATTTCCAAAGCGAAGTTTTGAAATTAAGCTTCATGTATTAATCAAATTTTCGCTTTACAATGAAATAATTAGGGCCCCAAATGACCATCACCCTAGACATCATTACCAGATATGTACACTCTTTCACAGAAAAAGCCCTTCCACCACTGTTCCAGACTTCTCCTTGGTTTCACCTCTGATCGAAAATACATCTCTATAACACAAATGCAAGGCCACGCTTAGATTATCCAGCGTAATTACAAAAATGACCACTTCCACAGCTTGGAGTGAAACGGGTCCAAAGTTATTAAGATTCCAAGATACTATTTTATTTTTCTACATAGAAATATATGTATAACAGAAAGCTAATTAAAATAAATCATTAATTGAATCAAACCAAAATTTGAGGAAATTCTATATAAAATGTATGTCATAGGAGTGGGAAGTTGCATTCACCTCTATCTAGCAAACAGTGAAATCATCTACTTTGCACCACCCTATAATGAAGGATCAAGTCGTCTGGTTTTTTCCAGACATAAGCACGGACACTGGCTAGACTCATATCTGGGGATAATACCTGTAAGAAGAATTTGTCATTAACAAATGATTGAGGTGAAGGGAAGAAAGGTCAAACTAATGGTGTTAAGTTATGGCCTTCAGAAAATATCACACAATCTCAAGAATCCGGTAAAAACCTAGGGTTCGTGCTAAGCACGTAGAAAATAGGTTTTCTAACTAGCAATAGCATTCCTAAGAAAGAGGGTGATTTTACAGGCTTTTAATAAAATACAGATATATAATTTATACCTGATTGTTGCATAAAATTTCAACTATAGGCTTTGTCTTTGGCCATGGCCTAGATCGGAAAGAACCATCCCCAATAGTTGGAAGCTGAGATTGTCCTCCGGCCACTCCAGAAGCAAATGAACCTTCGGTGTTTCCAGCTTCTGAGGGTTTATCAAGAACCATTTTCTCATTAACATAGTTTACAACCTGCAAAAAGCACATGAAAAGAGATCTATAATGTATTTGACTGTTATTATTGACAGATGCTGACAAGAAAATTCGAGCACAAACATTCATATAGATTAAGGGCCTGTTTGGATGTACTTGTTATAACTGATAATTCACTATTTACATAAAGTTAATCCTGATAATTAAATATCTGCTGCTTGGCATTGTCCATCATAAAGTTATCTGAAATAAACTTCTAGCCAGTTTTACATATGTTTATCTTTTTTAAAACTTTATTAAAAACAACTTGCTGAAATCACATATTTTTAGCCAGAAATAGCTAAAAATAGCAGCAAATCACCCAAGTTAAATAATTAAATAATATTGGGAATTTTACAATAAAATATATTTAATTATCATATTCTATATTACATAAAAGTGGATCCATGCAAACACCTGGAATGTAAAACATGGCAATGACCGCTTTTTTTGTGAGTCTCCCTTCATAGAGCCCTCTTGTTACACCACGTACTCAGCGGAATGCTTTTAGGGAGAGGAGAAATTTGAGTGAATGATGGAACTTGAATGACAGATAGAAACTTACCCCGCACCTCCGCTCTCACCTTATTCTTCCTCTTCCTTTTGGCCTTTCTACCTCTTCTTCTCTTATGTTTTGGCCTTTCTTTCCCTTCTTGTCTTCCACATTCTCTTCTCCCTTCCTCACCCCACAATTCTTCAAACACAATCCCTCCTCCAGGCCTATCTACTCTCATAAAGGCAAAACAGCTGACACATCCTTAATCAAACCATTAGAGTGAGCATCCACGGGGATAAAGAAAAGAACTGGATTAATCCCTTGTTCCACCAAATTGCCTCTATTAAGTGGGTACGGAGAGAGAAAACAAGGTGTTTAGAGAGTCTTAATAGATTTAGAAGAGATGACATTCAGGAGAGTAAAAATGAACTCAGGCTTAATGCTAATAGTAGGTCTATAGCCTAAGTGTAAAATATACAATAGAGAATTGCAGTGCCGTTTTGGAGCAAAGGGAGAGGGGATGAGAGAGAATGTGGGTTAAGGCATTCAAGAGTAGAGAAAGATTGGGTTCAAATTTCACGCAGCATAGAGAGACTAAGAAGAGGCGTGATGGAGTTGAGATGGGCTGTTGGATTTGGAGTGTAGAAAGTGGTTACAAGGGAAAGATGGCTATGGTGGCTTTGGGCATCATGTTTGGAGAGGAGGCAGCTTCACTTCCATCTCTCTTCCTTTAACCTCATCTGTCTTTAGAACTCTCTCTCATCTCTCTCTCTCTCTCTCTCTCTCTCTCTCTTCCCACCCCCACCCCCCAAGAGGCCAATACAAGAAACTAAAACTGAACCACTCTCTCTTGATTCCAGGAGACCTTTGTTTAGAATTATGAAACTTTGACCATTCATCAAGAAGTATTTGTACAACTGAACAATTTTGGAATGGTGGTTTTAGGACACAGAGATGGACGAGTTACATTAGAAAAGGGATTCCAACAACCACCACTTGAATTTCCAGCAAACAATTGGAGGGAGAATGCCATCAAGTTGATGGAAAGCACGCACACAATGTGAAACAAAAACCCAAAATCTCAGCTCACGAAAGGGAAACTCTCTCTCACTCTTTGTGGGTCTTCTCACTCTTTGTGGGTCTCCCTTCCATCGCCAAACTGTAGTGATGTCTCAATAGGTTGTCTTTCTCCAGTGAGAAACAGAGGCTAGAGGGGGGGCGAAGGAGAGGAGCTAGAGAGAGAGAGACTTTGAAGGGAAAACTCTCTCTCTCAATAGAAAAGGTAGTCGTCTTATTTCTATGCCACATAACACCATGGATCTACTTTTATGTAATATAGCTAGTTATGTTCACGTTTATGTAGAATAGAGTCATCATCATCAAAGTCTTTTCCCAACTATTTGGGGTCAACTACATGATTCCTGGTCCGCTACTATGTAGAATAGAGCGGTTAAAGTATTTTCTATTGTAAAAATCCCAATAATATTATACATAGTATCAGAAGCCTATCAAACAGCTAACAGAATAATATTATCCAGAATATATTAATTTTAGATAAGATAGTCTTCTCCAAATAAAGCTAATTTTTATTCAAATTGGTCCTAATATAACAGGCTAAAATCCAAATTGCAGCCTGCCCAAAATTCTCTCTTAATATTTTTATCATGCTTGCATTTAATCCCAAGGTGATCAGGTTTTCAAATAACATTCAAACAATCACAAAATTGTAGCTTTACGTCATTTCAAAAGAAACCCATTTATCAGAATAATAAACAAAAAATGAATAAGCATTTACTTTGTGTATCCGCAATATCCGTGGGGCACTTAATTTTCCTTGTGTAAGGACTTGCACCGTCGTTCCTTCATATGGATGCAAAAAGAAGCTGCATCTGTAAACAAAAGCCCAAGAAATATAGTCCATAACCAACTGTTTCAACTTCAACAATCAAAGAAACCAGAATAGGAGAGAGAAGAGAAACTGTGATGTCAATCATATTCACAAAACATGGGAACTACAAGAACTTTTGCAGCATTGAGAGCTCCAAGAAAGATAAAATGAGTTACAGGAATTATGAAGTGAAATTTTCTCACTTTACAAGAATTTGGCCATTTGTGTCCCTTTCTTGAGAATCTATAATGTGTCATCTCTGCCCCATGTGCACATAGATTATGAAGACCACAGTACATGTCACCAGTCATTCTACACTTTATTGTTATGTATGCTTTTCTAGTAAAATATATTTAATGGAGAAACCAACAATTAAAAAATTAAAAAAAAAAGAAAAGAAAAAAAGAAAGTGATCCAGTAGAAAGAAACAAAGTGAACTTCTATCCAGGAAAGAATGGTTCTTCACCGTTTCTCCATGATAGTGAAGAATCCTTTGAATGATAAGTAATACATTAAGGTGAATGACAGCCAACTATTAGAAGCAAATAGTTACAACTTAGGATTCCTGAATTTGATCCATTTAATTCATTCAGTCACCTCAAAGAGGATGCACTACTAAATGCAAAAATAGCTCCGAATGAACAGCTCTGGATGAACATTCGCAACTATAAAATGGGATGCAATCACAATAAACCATGAGATACTGTAGTCCTTTCAAGGATACGGTAAATTAACTGACATGATTGAAAACAAAGAGTTATCTGCGGTCTTCTGCAATTCTTAATGTAAAAGGATTTTAAATTCAGAAAGAAGCATATATGATAATATAATTGCAGGTCTCTATGTGCATGTGTGAGAGAGAGAGAGGCATCAGTACAAGTTGTCAGAGAAAGTCTCCAGTGTCAAGACTTACTTGGTATTTTCTCTGGGAGGCATTCGACCATTCAAGACACAATCTAGACACCACCAAGGGAGATCCTTCTCATCTTCTGTTCCATCCATATCAGTAACCTTCTTTCTCCAAGGACCTCCTTGGGTACCTTCAGTAATGATAGAAGGAGGACAGACAGTCGAAAACTCGAAAGAAGGAAGTACCATGGAGTTGTAACTGTCAGCTCCATTATCAACTTCCATTCTGGAGTGTGAATAATTTTGAGAAGGGACATCTTTCCCAGAAGGAACATCACCATTAAGAGAAGCCTGTGACCCCAACTTTTGCCTTCGTTTGGCAATCCAAGGGGCCAGCAAACCACGAAGAGTTTCCTGTGCTAGATTAATCTGCAAAATACATGCAAAATGTTCCAGTCACAAATATTTCCCATTAGACATTATACAGTAGAAACCCAACCATGGAAATTATCTTTGTAGGGACTAAAACCTTAGGTCAGGCTCGAGAATCCCAAATAATTTCAGAATAAGGTTAATCTAACTGCTAAAATATATACCGACAATCTACTAACTGCTCTCTAATCCCTTCAGAAGAAACAAAATCAAATTGCATCCATGATAATCAGATTCTCTAAGCCCTTAGCACATGCTAAGGCACTACATATTTGGCTTTATTGTATGCAGATGCATTATGTGCATGGAACAAATTCTCAATGAATAGGCACAAAAAGGAAATGTTACAATCAAAATATTATCATTTCTGTCAACTCAATTTCTTGAACTTTCCCTAAGCATTGAGAAATCCCTCAAAAACGAAAAACATAAGAATTTCTACCAGGTTTAGAATAAACCATAAGTTTTAGAAGTTCCCCAATTATGATAAATAACAGGAATCCCAACCAAACCAAAAAGGACTGCACATACCTTTTGCTCTTCAGAAGCTCCTGATATGTTCAAGTCAATGGCATACATTTCTGCAGAAAAGCATTGTGGTGTATCCAAATGGATAGACATGCTTCCCAGGCGAGTATCCATTGTGAACCACGCAGGTATGCTTACCTAAAAAGTTGAACAATAATTTTCACTGTCCTGATAATCATCAGAAGAGAATTCACTTGCCATTAAAACAAATATATAAATACCATTTCAAAAAGCTCTTCCTTCTTTTCCTCAAAAGAAACCTGAAATTCATAGAAACAATACAGATCAGCAAAATTCCAAAGGTTTGCCTGAAGTTATCCCATTGCCCTTCCTCAGAAGGGTATAAGAAGCCGCTTAAGGTTTCACTTGCTTTTCAATATATACAGCAGAAGCATACAATTCGCAACATAGCAAAATTCCAAAGGTTTGCCTGAAGTTATCCCATTGCCCTTCTGAGGAAGCGCATTAGAAGCCGCTTAAGGTTTCACTTACTTTTCATTATATACAGCAGAAACATTCAATTCGCAACATACGTGTGTGTCCAGCCGGCCACACATGCACGCAGGGATGCACACACACACACATGAGAGAGAGAGAGAGAGAGCATGTAAACCTTGCCAAAGTCTTCAATTACAACTCCCCTTGTGATCTCCCATAGCTTCACGGAAGCAGTAGTATCCTGTCAAAAAGCAACAGCTGAATGAAGTTAATGATCAATTTAGTCAAATCATTCATTTCATTTTTTTCTCCCCCTCAGACTGATCGACCTTCAATCATAATAACAGATATAAAATGCATATTTTGCACCTAGATGCTCAATGTCGAAATGTAATAAAAGGATAAAGTCATGAATTACCTTTGTGAGCACCTGCCTTCTATTGTTCAAAATCTCATGCTGCACAATTGCAGGAGTTCCCGGAATTGTGAATGACGGCTCCTTGTGGACTGGAACCTGAAATAGAATGCAGTCTTTAACAACCCACAACACAAAACGCAAGTATGTTTTTGAGCATATGAACTTCAGAGTCTAGAGTGAATCCACATGTTAGATTACAAATACACATGGTAATGAATACACAAACTAGATCCAAAATGGAAAGCAGCAAATGATGCTATCTATTAACAACAATAAGAACTAACTAAATTTCTTAACCAACAAATTGTCTCCTTTAGAAGTCTTAAAATTCAAACTAGCAACACATCTTAACCAACAAATTGTCTCCTTTAGAAGTCTTAAAATTCAAACAAGCAACGCATCTAAAATTTCTCCAACAATTGGGAAAAAAATAAGGCAAAGTTGCGAGAGCTTTTAAGTTTTAACCAAAAGAATGGCTTCTAACCATGAGAATGGCTTGGTTGATATATCAAACGCGGATTGATGGTAATTTGGCAAGCAAAACAAGAATTGATGCTCACACAAGATAGTGCTGGAATTCCTCCCAGACAAATACATAGATCAATATATTCTATGAATGGCAAATAACAAGCATTAATAAAATAATAATGTGTTGTAATATACATTTCTACATGGATAATATGTAAGCAAGAAGGAATATTCATGCTCAAAGTATCTTCCAGGTCATTCCAAGCATTGGATACCAATATTATCTCCATTTAAAAGCCAAACTAGGGCCATTCATTTCAGTCCCAAATCGCTCGTAGCACCTTCTCCATTACTGCCAGTAGGTCAATAGAAGCAGAGAGAAGGCAAGAACCTCACAATACCCGAAGAGGAGAAAGGAGATAACAGATATTGGAATTTCTCGCTTATTGTAACTAATGGAAAGAAGGAACACTTTTTACCTTTCCCTTTATTTCTCGATAATAAAAATCTTAAGAGCAAATTTCAAACTATCTACATCCCCCAAGAGGGGAACTACAATAAAATTTCACAGGGCTCTCATAATATCCAATCAAGAAAGCCTATCTGGTGCTTTCATTCACCTGAGTACAAGATAGGACTCAGATGCATTAACCACAACAAACAATTTAAGATACTGTCAACAACATTCAATAGTGCCATTTCAAACAAAAAAAATCCAATATAGCCTGCTTGACCATCTCCAGGGGTTATATTTGAAATTTCTAGGGGTCATTCATTGATGCCATACATCTGTACCCCATTGCATGATTTGCTAAATCCATGCCTTTCTTCCTCTCAATTAAATGGCATCTTTTAGAAAGGGATAGAAAAATAATCCATTTTATTAACCTCTTTTCTATAACAAGAAGGTAAGGGGCAACAGAAGTGGGTCTCCAAAACCCATTCTTATCAGAAAAGACACTCATGCAACATCTTTAGATTTGCAAGCCATCAATAAATTATTGTTTAGTCAGAATATCTCAGCACGTTTCAAACTAAACATATAGTGCTTTGCAGCCCCTTCGGTCATCAGGAATAAATTGAAAAATGAGTAACGAAAAAAATAAATAGAATGAGAAATAAAACTTGAGCACGTATTGGGTGATGCGATACTCTCAGTAACTCATGCAGGAGTCATGACATAAGCATCATAAAAAATGGTAAAAATTGCTTCAAGCTCAACCACAGTTCATGCACACAAGGAAAGTATCAGTAGAGTTGAAGGGGGGAAAAAGAAAAAAACAAAAAGAAAACAAGCCCCAATAACAAATGAACACAGAAATATAATCAAAGTTGATACAAAATAAGCTTAGGGATACAAATGAACATACAGTTTTACATAAAAAGGTAAGTCAGCTTGGTTAGTTTTTGAAACATATTTCAAGACTTCCCTCGAACAAAATGGATGTCTTACAATAGGACAGAAGACCAATGGACACTCTGATCAGTCTTGTGACAATCATTGCTTCAAAGCTATTTTAGCAATTGATAGATTTGATTTTCAACAAGAGCCCCCAAATACTCAAAGGTCCAAAACCAACAACTTATACAGAGTGGCAGAGCCAAAAGAAAAGTAGAATTTACATGTTGAACCCAAAGACGATAGTTGTCCATTTATATTAGACTATTATAGGAAGGCTTTTACAAAATAATGGAAATAAAACTGTCAGAAAACAGTGACAAAAAAAGAGAAGAAGCAATGTGTCATAGTTAACCAAAAACAAGGGATACCAAAAGCTTACTGGTGTAGATCCTTCTAAAGAAGCCCTTGCCCTTGTAAAGGACAAATTCCCAGCCAAGAATGAACCCCCTCTTTCAAAAACCTTTTGAGGATTATGTACATCTGCTGGCCACCTGTGTAAAGAAGAATCAGTTGTTGCAACCCATATACTTTCATCCTGCAGTGCCATCTGTTGTATGGGATGCTCCTTTGTACAAAGTAGAAGACTCTCTCTGGTTGCCAAGTCCGTCAAGTACAACTGAAACAGCATCAGATGGTTTTTTTTTTGAGGAACGAACAGCATCATATGTTATACCAGAAAAGGAAAGAAAACAAATGACAAATTGAAGGTGGCCGACAAGAAAAAAAACTAAAAATACTGAAGGACAGAACCATATCAAGCAGTTGATGAGCGAATTACTTACAGAGAGGTCCCTCCCGCCACTGTAAACATGACTGAATGTTGGGGTGCTGACAAGTGCCCAAACCGAGTCTGTATGCACGGCATAGGAATGAATGCATCGCTGCTGACCAAGATCCCACAATCTACACAGGAAATTGATTTGGAAAAAAGTTCATAATGGGAATCTATAAAATACATTCAGCAAAATGAACCGAAAAGAGGAAATCTTACCCAGTTGAAAATTATTGTATTTCAAGCACACAATATGAAAACTTTAAATGCAATATCTCCTATGCTAAACACCAGGGAGGTCTTGAATCAGTTAGCTAACAGGAAATTCATTACAATATAGAATCTGGAGAGGAGAAAACATTTTAATATGTGCTCGCAAAAAATAATCCATGAGAAATAAAGAAACACCAAAGGAAAATGGCAGAGAAATATTTCCTTGTATACTAAAGAAATAGAAAGATTCTTTTTTTCTTGAAATATAAATAATTATCAGAAAAACTGACACTACAAGCTATAATAAAATGGGAACACCTTTAATTGCCCACGGGAGGACCACGACAATGTCCACCCTCCCCCATTTTAAGGGCTTTATGGGCTTTTTCTTTATTTCCTTCACCCAAATTTGGCACACACGTTTTCTTGGACCTGTTGCAGAATATTGTGAAAAAAAAAACATTTCGAGAAAAAAAATCCCGGAAAATGGTTTTCTAGGAGAGAGAAAATGCAGTGAATTAGGGCTGTCATTTTAGGAAAAAAAAAATGGTGTAAGATCGAGGCCCTAGGGGATTGTTTGAGCCTAAATGTTGTACCCCATTATCACCAAATAGACATTTCACATGTGCCTCTGTGTGCTTAAAGAACTAGATCTAGATGCCATGAAAAGGACCGCCAGTGCTCATTGAATTCAGGAAAACTGTATTTAGAGGTCCTCTTTTTTAAATAAAGGGTTTCTTTCATGGGGTTCTTGGCCTGGGTCCAAGAGAATGCGTTTGGAGCGAAAAAAAATGACCTTAGGGCCCCCCAAATGTGGGAAGGCAGAGAAGATTTTTTATTTTAGTATAAAAAAAAAAAATCAAATATACAGTCACAAGATTTGCAGTTCAACCAAATAACTGCATGATAATTGTACTTTTAACAGCATAATCCAAAATCTTCATCAGGAAAGCTCACCTTATCATAGAATCAGAAGATCCAGACAAGCATAACCTGTGAGAAAGGAAAAGAACTTTCACTTTTAAGGGTTTAGCATTTTAGATAATTGAAATGGACAAGAAAGGATATAAGTAACAAATATTTATGTCAATCCTAGTTAATTGTATTTGTAATCAAGACCATTACAGCTTCCCTAAAATTCTGAGAAACTGATACAATAAGCAAGAGTATGCAAGAACTAGGAAAGCTGCCACAAGGAAGCACTTTTAATATAACAAAATTAAAGAACAATTTCAGGGTTCCTGAACTCTAGGGGTGGCAACGGGTCAGGTCCTGGTCCAGACCCGGATCTGGACCCGACTGGACCCAAATTCATTGGACCCAGACCCAACCGGACCCAATCAGACCCAACCCAAAAATTAAATGAAATATATTGGGACATGAAAAATATTATCCAGACCTAGACCCAGACCCAAATAGTGTTCAGGTCCAAGATTTAGACCCAGATCCGGATCGGATCTACCCCTCAGGTCCCGGGTCGAGTCCGGTCCATTGCCACCCCTGCTAAACTCTGATTTTTTATATCAAGTCACATTACAATTTTGTATATTTCTAGACATTAATAAAAGAAAAAAGTTTATATAGAACCAAGGCTCTAAACAATCAAATTAGAGTACACCACAAAAATTTCACTAGAAGGGGTTGTTTGGATGCCCAAATATCCTCAAAGTGTTCATCTCGACAACAAGATGCATGGACATGAGAAAAAAATGGATTTCAAGTTTTGAAAATAGTACATCTTGTAACGCTTTTTTGAACCGTCAATTTTCAAGATTTTCAAGTTTTCATAGATCTGCTCGATATACACTATATTTGAAGCTTTAAATTTTATAATTAAAGATGAAAATATATTTTAATGCTATCACAAAGATTTCCAGTATTGAAACCACATTTCTCGACACTATTTGAAGGTGCGCTTTACTTTGATTGTTTAGAGCCTTGGCTCTAGACAAACCGCACCCTTGATAAAATTATGTTACAAAAAAAAAAACAAAAGAACTGCCCAGACAAGGTGATGCGTAATAACATCTACGTTAAAATGATTCTAAACCACACATCAGAGAAACCAAGCAACATGGCAGGATTCTTATTAGATAGATAACACACACATACACCATGCATGGTGGTGGTCTATAACTTCATCTAAAATTCAACCCACAAACCTGCCAGTAGAATCCAATAGCAGAGCCCTGATATTGTCTGTATGACCTCTTAATTTCATTTTTTTTGATCCACTTCTTGGATCCCAAACACGAACAACCTACAAATATTAGAATGGTTAGATGATACTAGCAGGCATGTAATCAAACCCAGAACTTTATCAATTGGTAAGGCCTAAATTCACACCATCAGGAAGGTGAATACTGTCCTGGAGTAGATCTTAGTATAATCTGTTTATTTCGTTTCTTGTTTCTTCTTTTTTTCTCTCTTTTTTATGTTAACATGGGACCTGATGAAAATGGAACCCTAGATTCCAAATTGTGGCACCCACCACCCTGACCACCTCTGCCTAGAGCCCATTCTCCCATTGTATTTGATTTGTCACTCGAAGTAGAAAAAGAAAAAGAGTACAGCCAGGTAAGATCATCAAGGTTTATGGTGATGATAAGATATCTCAAAAAACAGTTAAAACAAATGTGAAACAGTTAAACAAATGTGAAATCTAAGCATAATATAATATATTGTTTATGGTCACCCGTTCATTTATATTTTAAGAAACACACAAATGGTTAAATAAATGTCTTCAATATGATAAATAGTTGACAAGCTCAATCAGAATGAAGTAACTATAAAATCATAGAGGGATCACCTTCTCAGTTCCACCAGAAACAAGAAGTGTTCCAGTATCATTCATTGCTAATGCATATACGGACTCTTTGTGGCCTTTGGCAGCAATAGGGCTATACCCATGTGACTGAGTTGTGTGTAGCGAAATGCCACTGTTTGAGTTAATTGAACGCAGACTTGTGACAGGTAAACCAGAGTTTCCAGAAGCAATAATCCCATTGGAATTGTCATCCTCCATCACATCAGTTGACCTTGAGATTGGAGCAAGTGCTGCTTCGATATCCCATATGAAAACCTCACCACCAAGGCCTCCAGAGGCAACAATATTGCTCTAAAATGCATGACACTATAAAAGGATCAATGACCTATGTAAGTTGTAACCATGCAAAAGACACACACACTATCACTCATTAAGGGTGAAGGATGAACAATAGAGAATTCCGGTCTTTAATACCAAATTCCCATACAAAAGGGGGTCAAACCTATCTAATACCATATCATACATTTGTAATTTCATAATGAAGATTTGATACTCCATATCAAACATCAATAAGGCTAGAGAAGTAACTACACGTGAAGAAACTTGCCCCTTTGGGGTGGTTTAACAATAAAAGTACAATCCAAGTAACGTTTCAAACAAGAAGCCAACTGAGAAGCATTTAAGCATGGCCCAAAATTTTGAACAAAGAAATTACATTTTTCTCAGCTGCTGCTAGGCACGTAACATAGTCAGAATGCTGGCGGAAAGTTCTGGTACAAGTCCCGTCAGATAAGCAACTCCATGTCTGGCAGATCGAATAAACAAAATAATTAGTAATAGAACACATGAAATGCACTGACAGTTATATAGTCAGAAGAAGCAAATACAATAGTCAGAAGAAGCAAATAACACTGCACCTTAAGTGTGGTGTCTGACGAGCAAGAAATGAGAGTTTCACCGGCAAGGACGCAATCATTAACCTGAAAATGAGATGAACCACCATTGTACACCCCACATTAATATCCAAGAGTTTCTTTTTTTAGGAAACTGCGTCCACAATAATAACCAAGAAAAACGACCATAACTTCAGTTCCTAATTGAATTAACGAAAAGCACAACAATGTGGGTGTAATCAAATTCTTCTTCCTTTTCTTTTTTTCTTTTTGTGAGGTGGAGGTGGGGGGGTGTTTCAGTGTTATAGTTTGAACTTGGGACACAGTGTTGCAATTGTCAACAACTTACCACCCAAGTAGCAGGTCAGCTTGTTCGTTTTGTTGGTACAAACTTCAAGGGTTTGAACCCTTGACCTCCCTCACCCAATCCAGGATGTTTAAAACTAAGCAGGAGCCTAAGGGGAAATCAGAACAATTGGATTGTATTCCTTTTATAAATACAGAAGTGGAATGCATTGCACATCTGAGTTTTCAAATGGGAGAAGTGTACCATAATCCACTAGCCTGTGTAAAAAAGTGGGATCACCAGTACAATAACCCCACCCCAACAAACAAACACCTGCCCCCCCCCCCTGGGAGCCCCACCGGAGGAGCACTCCCAGTGCACAATGGTGCTCCCATACTCCATCGAATTAAAGCATCATTTCCCTTCCTGATGATGGTATCTAAATTATCCCTCCCCCCTCCACTTAATTGGATGGTGGTGATGACCCAGTGCACAATGGTGTTTCCATACTTGCATTGGATTTATAGCATCAATCCCCTTACTGATGATGGTAACTAAATTTTCACTCAACACAAAAAAAAGTACACACCTAAAGCACTAATACATACCTAAAGCATTAATAAAAATAGCATTATATACTAGTTAATAAAAAAAAAAATTCCTTATTTCATCTATATATCTACCTATAGCCAACCCCAAATAGTTAGGAAAAAGCTCTGATAATGATGATGATTTATATATTTCATTTATATATTTACGTATAGCCGACCCAAATAGTTGGGAAAAGGCTATGATAATGATGATGATATATATATCTACCTAGGACACAGACGGAATGTTCTGTGCATCGTGAACTTTATATTCAATGCAACAAACATAAAATAGAAAAAAGACCATTGGAACTCCACTGTAACCTGTTTAAACTTTCTGGGACAACAATAAATAAATAAAATTTATTTTTCAAAAATAATAAACCTTTTGTTTCTTATAATCCTTTGTGGGTTTTAATGCTAACTCATGAAATAATCTCAAAGAGCCTCCAGTGAGGGATTTAACTAATTTCCCAAGGTTCTCTTGAGATAACCAGATCACCTCACACCCAAGATCCATTTAGTATAACCTCAAGGGCCATAGGAGCCAATGTAGGCATGCTCTCATGAAATTTTCCACCCAGGGAACAATGAGGAGGGCACCAAGCTGTCGCCTAAATCATATTTGACAACATGACCTTCAGTGACCATTTCTCATAAGAAAAAGCTGCAAAAAAGAGGAATGGCCTTTAGGCCTGGGTGGTCAGGCCGGTGGGGTGCCATGTCGTGGCATATATAGTTCCATTCCTACTGCGCTCCCAAATTAACATTCAAAAAAAGAAAAAAACAGCTGCCAAAATGTTTCTTATTGTCATTCAGAAAGTTCTTTTTCTCTTAGGCATAGTTATTCATCGTACTCTATAGGGGGGGAAAAAAAGGACCCACTACCTTCCCAGAGTAAGGCCCCACCAAACACCAGAAGACAGCACCATCGCCTCTACATAAGTGCCCCAAGGGCTACATAAGTGCCAGAAGGCTTTTCACTATGTGCATGCATTGGGAAGCCACCCCAAAAAGTTAAACCGCATTATCATGAAGAACAAACCACTTGCATAATACACGTTTTGATCGATTGTCAGAAGATCTAAACCAAATGCGGGCGCAAATAACACCCTAAAAGGGGGCCAAAGACAAAGCATAGTAACCTAGAGACTAAGAGACAAATACCCAATCAACATGAGATTCGAATGTTGCTGAGCAGCTAGCTGAATCTTCAGCCAAGGTCCACCTTTTGAGTGTCCCATCTCGGCTTCCAGTGAACAAATAATCACAGCTACCAGGTGCCAATGACTGTAAAACAGCTAAACAATTTATGCCTGCACAGTGCTGCAAACAAGAAATAGGTATGAGGCAGCATATGGAACACTAGAGTAAATCGGGAAAGTCTCTTGTTTCTTAATTCAGTTAAAACATAGTGACTGAACATTAATTAGATAAAAGGACAATCTACACAACTTTATGGTTGGGACAACTTAGGATATAGATGATCATAGAAAGTTAGAAAACCCTCACAGTTGTGTCATCTGCATCATTCAGTACATAGGTCAAACGCTTCTCCTTTCGTGGACGAGTTGAATTCGATGTATTTCCTGTACTTCCCACACGGTGCATTGCAAAAAGGAGCCTGCAGATATTATTAGTGCAGCTATACAGAATCAGAAAATCTTAGAAATGAGAAATAATAAATAGCAGCTTTCTTAATAGGAACAATGGACATTAGATGACTAACGGGAGTGTTAATATCCATAAAATTTATAACTACCAGAACTTTTAATGGGTTTTGATATAGTAGTCCTCAGTCAATGTCTAAGGTACCAATTCCAAAAGAAATTCACAAGAGAAAATCAAATTTTTGATAACCCATATAGTTGAAGCTATACCACTAGACTACAATGCTTGACCCTGTCCAGGTCTCGTCACCACAACACCTTGCTGCTCCAGCTCCAGTTCCTGTAATCAAAAGCTGCAATAGACTACTCGTGGCCCAGCATGAAAAAAATTATAATTAATCCTCAGTAAACCAGCTACCAGACTACTATAAAATGGGTTCTAGTAATTGAACCTTAATTTGTAAATGCATGTATGAATATTTGTGTAAATGAGAAAGGGATTACATAAAAAAACCACTTCCTGAACTCATTTCCAAGTGTCAGACACTTAAGTTCGTTTATCAAAAACTATGGCCCAACCTTACATCTCCAAATATTTTATATTCATCCAAATTAAATTGGCACCCCTTTGAAAGAAATTGAGAATACATTTAAGGTTTAGAGCATTTTTTATCGAGGCATCTCCAAACACAACAACATCAGCTATAGAGGAAGGCAAAAGTGAAACCATGAACGATGGGTTCCAGAAAGTACAGCTTCAATAAACCGAATTTTAGTCCCAATATATCACACATTAGATTAAACCACAAAAACATATAAAAATGGGAACAGGGGACAGCCCTCTCTTAAACCTTGTAGGCTTCCTAGAAAAAAAAAACTCACAGAAAAGCAACTTGGACTCATAACCCAATCTTGACATCTCCATCCAATGCCATCCTATAAAGCATGTATCATGAAATCCTAGTTTGCACAATCACAGGTGCGCCTCATTTGATGATCACATATAACTCGTGGTTTTCCCTCTTTAGCTGTGTCCAGCAGGTGGCCCACTGGCTCCCCATCAAAAAACAAAAGATTCTTGCAGAGCCAACTCCGCTTAGGGATATAGTTAGATATTGAACCTCCTAAGCATATTGCCCAATGGTATGCCAAGATTGTATATAGTATATGCCCCTCCCCCCAAAAAAAATAAAAAATAAACACAGTACATCCCACCACACCACACACACACTAACACAGAATGTGAATGCTATAAGGCCTAAAATGATTAATGAGTTTGAACTCACCCTAACAACCCCAAAAAAAAAAAACTTCCTTCTTGTTGATGTTAGTGTATAAAAGTTAACATTAACCTCCACTAACATCCTAGAATGATGAAAAAATTCACCAGAAATCTCCAAACTGTAATTTTAATGATCGCCCAAAAGTTGAGCAAAACACCCAAGAAGCCATCATCAAGTGCTGACCTTTCAATTTCCTGAAGACTAATTCTTTTGTGTTGTTCTGGAACAAGTCAACACATACTATGTTACCCAGTAGTCGAGTACTAATTAACACTTCTTTTGCCAACTCCTTCAAATACACACTTTATGTCCCTTTTCTAATTCCTTTAGCTTATTATTTTCCAACTAAAGCTCTAAGGTCAAGGAACCCTTCTTTGCAAAATTATACAGTAATATCTCTCCTTTATTATCTCTTTCTTGCTAATTATGGGCATTCACAATTCTTCATGTAAGTCAAACTAAATCAGTCCTCTTTTTTTATCAGGTATCAAAAACGTTTTCATAAGGTCTAATCAACTCCAATTTATTAGAATCATTCCATTAAGAATACTTTTCAAATGTGCAAATCGCAATTAAAAGAAAAAAAAACTTAAACAAGAGCATCTCCAAATTCTTACAACCTTACCCAAACACAATAATGCCACACGAGTCACTATTAAAAAAAAAAAGAAAAAGAGAGTAAATGTCACCTGAATCTATGTTTACTTTTCTTTTGATCAGTGAGTCTATGTTAACTTTCAAAGCAAAAATGTCAACAATTGCGCAATGCAAAACCAGCCAGCCTAACAAAAAACAGGCAATCACTAGTCAACATTTCCAAGTCGATGAAAATGGATCCCCTCACACTCCTTCCAACCACCCTGGATTTATAAATTGGCCACTGTAACTGAGGAAGAGCCCGAATGTAATCCACAAAATGCTCAATTTCTAATTGTGGATAGTTCTATCATAACAAACATTGTCTAATCAAGCAATATCTCAATGAAAAACCCTAAACACACCCAGTTTATCATTGCTCCATGGTCCATGAAAATAGATTTCTAGTTGCTCCAAACACTTCAAGTTGTTGTTTTTGAGAATGGTATTAATTATACTGATCAGAAACCACAAAGAACAATGTTAATGAAGAGGATCAGAAGGTTTATTCCACATCACCGAAATCAAATTGTTGTGTACCCTAGTACTAATATGCCTTCTTCAAATCCTTCCCCAGCCATGAGTGCATCAAAAGAGAAAACCATCAACTTCACAGATTTCACTGACTTTGATCCATCAGCCAACCATGGAAACCTCAAAAATGTCCATCTTAATATGCATAAATTTCTGCACAAAACTAAAGAACATGAATTTTCTCCTCCTTTGACTTGCTAATTGGGCACAAACCAACCACACGACCTCCGAGTGTGAGGCCGCATCCAAACCAAAGCCCCACCACTAAAACTCACAAAATAAATTAAAAAAAAATAAAAAAAGGATAGTTAAGTCTATGTATAACGATTAACAAAATATGACCACAAGATAAGACAAGCATTTACAACTCCAAAAACACAGAATCCATCAAACACAGGTAATTCTTCTTCCCCATCTCAAGCACGATAATGAAACAAAACAATAGAAACCATTAAACCCAGATTGATCAGAGCAGTTGTTTCAGACAAGCAAATAGCCATAAGTGATGTAGAGTTTCAATCTATAAGTAGAAAAAAGAAAAGAGAAAATAATAAAAGGCAGGAACTTAACCTGGTTCAGAACTGGTCAAAGAAGCGATCAAGCCAAGCCAATCTTCACAACACTCGGCCAGGTCAAGTGAACAAAATATATATCACAGAGAGAGAGAAAGAGAATCTTTAAATGGCACAAATTGTCTACTTGAACGAGGATAAAAAAGGGATAGAGAGGACTGATTCAAGAAAGGGAGAGAGAGAGGGCGAGATTGTAGAGAGAGAGAGATCTTAAATGGAATTTCAAGTGAGAGACCAGTTTTATTGTGCAATTTCTCTGTGTATTTCTTTGGGGGGGCAGAGCTAAGAGGGTGGATATTCTTCGAGCAGGCTTGATCTTCGAGAAGAGTACCGGCAAAATACAAACAGCCAAGGGTTTCGATGAGAGAGAGAGAGGGATTTGGTTTTGGGGTAGGCTTTAGAGAGAGAGAGGGGTTTGGGGTAGGTCTTGTAAAGAGTCACAGAGAGAGAAAGGGGTTTGGGTTTTGGGGTAGGCTTTCGAAGAGAGAGAATTGGGTTTTAGGGTAGTGAGAGAGTATTGGGGGTAAGCTTTCGAAGGGAGAAAGATCGAGTTGGGGTATTTATAGGGTAGGTTTTAAGAGCGAAAAAGAGGGAGGGAGGACTTTGAAGAATGGAGGTTAGGGGCAATAGAAGAGAGGTTATTTGAGTAACTAAGTGGGAACGCCAGTCTTTGGTTTTAATTAGTCTGTGCCACGTGGTTGGCACGTAGGATGCATGGGCCCACGGTGTTCTTGCAGGGCTGCCTCCCTGGACTCCCAACCCTCACCCTTGCTCGCGTCCCCCTTCTGTCCCTCCCTCTCTCAAAACTTCACCTTTGGTTGTTGGCTCCTCACACAACTTTGTTATGGGTGTAGTTTCTATAAGGTTGCAACTTTAAATAATCCAATTAAGGCGTATATCCAAATTTTATCGTAATTTTGATGTAAAAAAATTTTAAAATTTTTTGAAAATCTATTTTCATATTTAATTAGAAAATTTTAAATTTTAAAAATGCTTAAAATCAAGTAGATCCATAAATATATAAAAATTTTGAAAATAGTCGGTCTAGATAATGTGTTGCAAGGTGCACTATTTTTGGGTTTTAAAACCTTTTTTGTTTCATATTCATCTATCTTGATGTCAAGATGATCAATTAGAAGGTTTTTCAAAATTAAAACAACATTTCCAATAAATTTTTGAGCTGCATCTGTGATTCTACATTTTAAGGTTGCAAACCTTATATAAACTTTTCCCTTTTATTATTGGGATTATATACTATTGAGATAATTTATCTTTGCAGTACAAAGAAGTCACAATTCCTAATATATTAGATGTCAAATTGAATGGTTCGAGATACGTCACAAAGTTTGATTAATTTATTTGAATTTTGATTTCAGACAATAATATACTCATAACTACCTGATTTGAATTCTAAATGATGAAAGTGATTGTGACCTTCTTGTATTACAAATAAATAGTATTTTTGTATACTTTTCTTTTGTTCTCTCCCCTCATTTCTCTCACAGTGGGATTTCAACTAATGAAAATGAATGAACACAATTTTAGCTTCACTTGCTTGCTTGGTGAGTAATATTCTTTTGTAATTCATGACCATCTAAGTCTTATCTTTATTGTTTAGGTCGGTGGTATTTTTATAATTATTTAAAAAATATTTGCAAGTGGTGACATAAACACATTTATATATGTATATGGGACTCCTATTTTTCATATGTATGATTTATTTGGACGATCTGATAGCATCGATCGCCGCATCATGCCAAATATGAATTATTTTTAATATGTTTCTACAAATCATCTTGAGATAAAATTTGACACATAGTCAATTCTTAGTAGTACACATCCAACAAGAATAAAATAAAAAATATATATTTAAAATAAAAAAAAATGGTCGAAATATCCTTGCAAGTTATATTGGTATTTTGGTTATTTTAATGACAATATTGTCTCCTAGTTTATATTAGGTGCGACCGGGTAATAAAAGGGGTGTCTCAAAATGATTTGTGTAAAAAAAAAAAGATTAAAAATCAAGTACTTTAAGTTGTTTGATCAAGATTAAATGCTAAGAGGCTGACATGTGACCTTATGAGTGAAGTTTTACCATCAGACTATTTAGATCAAATGACTAAGAATTACAAATATGTATTTTATATGGGGATGAAGTTTCTACGCTTTATGAAAACAAAATAAAGCCTCACTTCAAATTCTCAACCGAAAAATACTTTTGGCAACAAAAATCACCACAATAGATCTAAAATTAATTTCCATCAATGGCAATAAAATTTAAAATAAAAAATATATATATTTTGTGAATCTATGAACACATATTTTTATAATGAAATGACAGTCTAGATAACTTGTTATAATATATAATATTTTTAAAGTTTAAATTTTTTTTTTTTTTGTTTCTTCATAATGATGGTGTTTAGGTTGAGATGATCAATGTAAAGGCTTTTTAATACTTGGATTGTTGAATTTTAACGAGTTAGGATGTGAAGTTTACTTATTCGATAGGCGGCAACCCTATCAAACCATTTTTCTTTTATACGAGGGTGGTGCCACGTATAATGTTTTCCTTTGTTTCCTTCCGGATGATAACACGCATCATACCAAGGAGTCATGTCATCTGGCACGTGGCTTACTCTTAAAGCCTAAATAGTTTCTCATTAGATAATGCTCCTTTTACAAAGGGATTTATTGGGTGTTTGACAACGAGTTCTTATGTGATCTCTTGGCTACTGCCTTTGATTTTTCCCTGAGGTTATTGTGAATTAGTTTTACTTGGGGTGAGAATTTTACATGGGATTTATATTTGGATTGGGATATCTGGATCCAAACACTACACATGGGATCTAAATTAGATCGTCTAAAAGTAAAAATTATATATATTAAAAGTTCTATATATTATGTATATAAATGGAAAAATATTTCTATACTCCTTATTTTTAAGTTTTATTTCATAATAGACTCAAGGTTTTAAAAGATATCTTGAGACATAAAATTTGTAGATTTTATTTTTTCTATACCCCTGAGCTAATTTAAACCTGTTTCTTTAGGCCAAACAAATCTTAAAAGACGTTTTTTTTAAAGATGTCCCCCAAACTTCTAGAGATAGAAAAATGTTTCATACCTGGAGGAGAAAAAAAGGTGTTTGGAGAAACACGGGAGGAAAGAGAGTGATAGACATAGGAAGAGAGAGAAAGAACTAAGTTTTGGTATATAAGTGAAGAGAGAGTAAAGATTGGGTTTAAAAATAGCATGTCTTTCCCACATTTGTTTAAGTTAAAAAATATATTTAAAGTTGCCAAGGGGTTGGAAGATATATTTTAAAACCTTGAGTTTATCAAGATATAAAACCTAAAAATGAGGAATATGGAGATATTTTCCTATATAAATTAGTAAATATATAATTATATATAGGAAAATTTTTATATAGAGTTGAGGCTCTAAACAAACAAATTAGAGCCCACTTCAAAAAATTTACTGGAATGATCATCTCGACATCAAGATGCATGGACGTGAGGAAAAAAATGAATTTCAAGTTTTGGATATAGTGCATCGTGTAACACATTTTTTGGACCGTCAATTTTCAAAATTCTAAAGTTTTCATAAATTTGCTCGATCTTAACTATATTTGAAGCTTTAAATTTCTCGACACTATTTAAAGATGAGCTTTACTGTGATTGGTTAAAGCCTTAGCTCTATACAAACAATTCCCTT